GAGAAAATCAGGCAAGTTGGCGAGAGGAGGCTGGGAATAGAAGAGGACATTGGCAGCCTTCTTGTGAGGAAAAAAGTCTTTCAGGAGACTGTGAATAGTATAGAAGAGGACATTGGCAGCCTTCTTGCGAGGAAAAAAGTCTTTCAGGAGACTGTGAATAATCTCTGCATATAATGATGTAATCTGAAAAGGGAAAGAATGGGTCACAGAACAAGCTGAAAACAATAGAAATTGTTGCTGCCAAGGCTCGGGTTTCTTACATCTTTGAGGATTTTCTTTAAGCTCATGGTTTTTAACTGCTTGAGATACCTGCACTGTAGTTTGAAGCTAACTGCTAAGAAATATTGCTCTGGTCTGGCTGGGAGTTGTGTCTCAGTGGCACACTATGTAGCTCCAGAAGGGTGTGCAGGGTTGGGAGGGACCCTCAATGGATGCCCTCTTCCATCTTTCAAGTAGGTGTTATTTCTCAGTAGCTACTGAGGGCTGCCAGCCTATGGACTGCAGTGAAGCCAATTATTAAATATGATAGGTCTATTAATATCAAAAAGGTATTTGCAACACTGATAGACAGTTGTTAAAGTTAACTAAAGATGAGTAAGCCAGGCCACTTCCCCCTCACTCATCCTTGTATTATACTGGCAAAAGAGCAATCCAGTTTGAATCTGTTTGCTGTAATATTATTCACGTGCTTCTGTGCATCAAGGTCACAGGGGTCTGACAACAGCCTGAGATTCACAGCACATTTAATTTTCTTATAATTTTATGGCAAAAATCAAATTAGCTGTTCTCTTCATATAGTTGTATTTCAAGATCAGACATTCTCTGTCACAGCCCTGAAGCATGTACACGTGCAATTAGAAGTACATGTACATGCCATTAATGTTGCTTTTTTGTATGCTTTCTAGCAAGTGAAAATAAACATCTTGAAAATATTTTCATTCTGCACACTGTTTTATAAAACTGACACATTTAGAGGCCTTTTTTTAGACTTAACGGTAGGATTTAATATCCTGATTCATTCATTCTAACCTCACCCCCTCTTTGAACAATACCAAGTAATGTGAATTGCATCTACTGACTTTTATGTAAAGGTGAGGTTAATACTAAACAGTTCTGAAGAGTAGAGAGCTCTGATTAATTTTAAATTGTTTCTAGCTTGATTTCATTTACACTTGCTGTTAGTGATTCTGCTCTATAAGTGTCCTCACTGGACTTGGTTACTACTACTGTTGGGTTGCAGTCTGCATTAATTATTTATTAATCAGTTAAAAACTGCTCTGAAGCATGAACTAAACCACTGATCTTTTCAGGTTTTTAAATAGGAATTTATCCATGTGGAAATAGAAAAGTTACTTATATGGCAGAAAAGGTTTACAGGACTAGAATGTTTAGGCTCTCAAATATAACCATACTAGATGTATTTGTCATTAAACTGTGTTTCAAGGCCTTAATCTTCCAGTGGGCCTTAAAAAATGGAGTGGTTCTTGTTTGGTATCAATTATTGTTATGGAAGAGCAAGTGTCATTAGTTTGGTTTTCAAAAATATTGTGCCAAACTTAAAAAGAGTAAAGAAACAAAATAAGAAGGGGAAAAAAAAAAAAAAAAAGACTTAAGTTTAAGACAATTGTTCTGCTTAGTTAAGCTGTTATCCAGCCTGTGAAGTCAAGAGAGAAGGTAAGTTTATCAGATTAAATGCTCTAGAAATAAAGATTAAATGCTCTAGAAGTAAAACTTTATTCCAATGTTTTGCTTCTTTTTAAGGTTTGAAAGGAGGTCATAAATGAGATTTAAAAATACAACTTTTTCTGTTTGTGCTTGATGTTGGTTTGGGCTTGACAATACTGGGCAGACAGTTTAAAAAAAATGTTGCTTAACTTTTTCCTTGTTGAAGAAGGCAAAATATTTATTTTTAAGTTTTCTTGAAATAAATGTGGGGAAAAAAGATTTACAGCATGTGAAAAAGTCTGATTCAGTGTTTATCAAGTTATGTTTTATTAATAGCAACAATGCTGTAAACAGATGCTTTAGTGATTACTTAAAATGGAACAAAATAGTCCTCATATGGAGTAGGGGAAAAAGGATTTAAGGTCACGAATACTGTAAACGGATGGGTTTCTGCTTTAAAAAAAGAAAAAGTACAGCACGAATTACAGTAGTTGAGTATGCATGTGCTGCTTGCTTTATGGAACATTAAACTCATTTTCCAGTACTGTTTGGGTTGCTTTTACCCTCTGCTGTCTGTAGTGAAAAATAAAGAGATGTTACCATTCTTGACTACCACACAGGTTTTGCAGGCCTCATATTAACTTGAGCTTTAGTGTCACTCAGTAGGGATATGGGAAAAACTGTGGCTGTGCTTCTTGTGAAAATAAACTGCCATATTTGATTGCCAGGCCCTAGATTTCCTGAGCTTGGGCGAGGGGTTGGGATGACTGTTAGTGTTCAGTGAATCATGTGGGAGGTGGTCACAGGGCTGGGGTGTCTTTCCTGAATAAAGGAAGTCTGAAGGTATGAGGGGCTAGGCCCTATGCTCTCTGTGAGTTATATTCTACATGCATGTGGCCTAAGTTCTGTTGTCTATTATATAAGGTAACCTGTCTGGCACCTGGAAGGCAAAGTTCTCTAGGAATGTAGATGTAGTACTTTTATTTAACAAGGTTTCTTAGACTACCCATAGCTGTTTTTTTTCATTTTTCTAAGAAAACATGGATTATAAAGTTTTCCCCTCTGCTCAGGTCTGTCATTATTTCCATTTCCCTCCCTCTTTACTAGATTTTAGTCCTTTGACAGGTTTCAGACAGATTCGTGGCAAGTTTTATGGTCTAAAGGATACTTTTTTTTCCCCCCAGAAGTATCATGAAAAAGTTTGCCTCTTTGTTTAATGGTCCCAGTATGAGAAAGGGAGAGCATGAGCCAAATTCTTATTAGACAGCAGTGATCCATGTGGCTGTTCCTGGTGAGGGTATGCATTCAGAGGAGACAAAGTGTCATTGATTCTGTGCTCTGTGATACTACTTGTTGAGCAGGTGGGAGGCAGGACACAGGTTTGGGATTATTTTTTTTTTTTGTAGTTTGTTGGGTTTATTTTGTTTGTTAAACTTCAGAATGGTGGTTTGAGCTCAATTCATATGTTAAGCCTGATGGTTTTAAGACTACTGTGAATCCTTCCACAATATTTTCAGCTATAAATCCTAATACATGTTAATATGGTAAAGCAATTGAATATTTTAAAAATTGATAAACCTTGCTATTAGGAAGTATGCAAAGGAATGTTCTTTGCTTTTAGATTAATTTTTAAGCCTATCATAATGCAATCACTTCTTTAATACAAGTAAATAAATGCAACTCCTTAATGAAGCATTAGATTGGAAAATAACTGATTGTATTGTGAGACAAAGATATTGCTGTAATTGTCATGAAAAGGTAGAATTGAGTAATTTAACAAATGTTAATGACATAAGTACCATATTACTAAATCCACAGCAGCATTTTTGTCAAATGCAACTGCAAAAATAGTGCCTTTTAATTCCTGTTGATGTTATGATGTCTCATTTTATTATTAATCGTGATGATATCAGGCCAGTTCTTCTCACTTCTTCATTAGATCACATATTTAAGATTTTTTTTATGTATCTTAAGAAAACCTGAGAAAGATGGTATGCCAGAAGTAGTTGTTTAATTGCTGTAGCACAGAAATAAATTCAGAGTATGAATGTGTTGTTATAAAAAAATTAATTAATGACTCCTAAAAACAGATAGTGGAGAAGGATTTTGACCTTGGATGGATTAGTGGAGTGGAGTGGATTAATTAATTTTGCAAATATGTCTTGATAGTGTAAGCTAGGAGATTTGTTTGAACATGTTTCTTAATTGATTGGGATTGACTATCTACTTTGCTATTCTAGGTGTAGTTCACATAGTACTTGGTAGTTTCTACTTTACTTTAGCCTACTGCTCCAATCCACGATCACC